GTAGGTTCAGGGGGCAGTAAGGAGGCCACGGCCCTGGTTTGGGAGGGAGAGCCAGTGAAGGCTGGAATCAGGTCGGTGTAGTGGCAAGAGAAAGGAGAAGCCAAGTGCAGGAGTGATTTCAGAGCGAGCCGAGTGGTGCTAGGCGCCCACAATACAGGGGCAAAGGATGTGGTTGGACCGATTACTTTAAAAAAAAAAAAAAAGATGTAATGGGTGTCAGAGTAAAATAGCTGACCATTTGAACTGTGTTTCTCACAGCTCATTAAGGAGACTTTGTCTCAGGTTCAAGTCAAGAAGGATTTTTTTTTCCTAAACCGGCAAGAAATGAATTTTAGGCCATTGAATCCCAGCTGCTTTGGATTATTTTACTGTGTGGAGAGACAAAGTTCATCACCCTCCAGCGAGGTAAACAAGCTAAGAGCCCCCAAGGCACTGGGGTCCACGGGAAATTAGTGTGCTCTGGAATTTAGAGCCATTTCCTGACTTAAAGGTGTCTTGGAATCAGAAGTTCAGGATGTCCGCAGAATCTGAAACTCTCAGACTCAGGCGAGAGAGAGATAAGGGGCCAGGGATCCCAGAGGGTCCATCATTAAAACAGGTGTGACCTGACCTGCTGTCCTCCCGCACTGGCCTCAAATATGTCACCTGCTCCTAAATAGAAACTGTATTTACCTCGGAACCAGGGCGCAGCAAATCCTTTGCACTTAAAAAAAAACATATTTTCTCAGTGGATTGTGGTGCCTATGAGAAGTGTTTCCCTTTCTCTCTACCCAGCTCCCTTCTGCCTCGCCCCCACCACCCCAAATCTAGCTGAGCAGGTAACACGGAGGCCCCGGCGGGCACCAGCACAGTCAGAAAGCTGCCAGGTTTCAAAGTGGAAGGAAGAACCGACTGCAAAAACTATCCTTCCAGTTTATCAGAATAATAATAACTCATTACATTTCCTGTTCTCTGTGGAGAGTGCAAGGGCCACTTCCTCCCGCCACCAGAAATTTGAAGACTTTCCATTAAAAATGAGGAAGAAAAACTCTCTAATTTTTCGTGAATGTGATGGTTAAACCTGGCAAGCGGGCAGGGAGGCCTGCGGTGTTGCATAAATCCTACTGGCTGCTCAGGGTTGGCCCGCATGGGTTCCCATGACACCCCTGAGTTGGAAAACCAACCACTTCCCCAAGGTATTGATTTTTTAAAAATATTTGTTACTCTTTGAAATGCGGGTAGCAGTGAACTTGACAGTGTGTATCTTTAAGTAGCTCGAGCAGCTGCCAAGCCCGTGTCCAGTTGAAAGAAACCTGTATACAGGGCCCTTCCCTCCTCTCAACTTTGTACCCAAGATATTAAGGCAGAATCACGTCTAAAACTTCCCCGGGAATCGAGAATCTGTTCCATCTTCGAGCAGACGGAGATTTTTCACATCCGCCTTCGCTAAGCCAGCTCGCTGTTCATAATTCCCAATATCAGGAACTTCCCTATAGCAGACCTAAATCGAACATGTCACAATTTGACCCCATTTCCTCAAATTTGTTCTTTCAGAGGGGTAAAGATCAGTTGGTCAATGTTCTTTATTTTAATGTTTCCATTGTTGAAGATTGTTACCCACAACTTCCCTCTGCCCAGAGTTATTCATTCTGGTTCCTTGAACCTCTCTGTCAGCTTTTTTTCCTTTCAATTCAGTGGATCCTGATTTAGTACTTAGTGGCAAAAACTCACAAACATCACAAACATACAAACAGAAGGCCAGAAGACCCCGTGGAAAACATCAGACCTCTGCCACATGCCCTTGACCCGGAAGGCTCCCCATCTGGGAAGGTAGACGAGACAGGACAGTCCGCACTCCTTGCGATTCTGAGGGTCTAAATCCCTACAAAAGAGGAACCCAGTAGATGGCCAGGAGCACGGGGCCGGGCGGAGGGACGGAGTGGAGAACCGAGCACGTGGTTCCTGACCTGGTCCTAGAGGGTGGGGGTGTCTGTGAGGGCGGGCAGCAGGGGAAGGGGCACGGGAGACAGGGGAAAGCTGAGTCCAGTCCTGATGTCTGGAGTCCAGGGCTGGCCAGAGAGACCAGGAAAGGGTCAGGCCGACTTGGCAGTGGAGGGAGTGTGGGCTGACTCGTCGTGAAGGGCTGTGTGGACAAGCCTCAGGAGCTGGGACGCTACCCCGTGGGCAGTGTGGTCCCTGGGTCCAGCATCCCCACTACTTGGGAGCTTGTTAGACATGCGCATTCCCAGGCCCTACCCCATGTCCCCGAATCAGAACTTCTGGAGGCAATCCCATCAAACAATCTCTCCAGGGGATTCTGAGGCACCAGTAAGCTTGAGAACCCCTGCTGGAAACCCTGGGATTGCCTAAAAAGGTTCTGAGCCAGCTCTACGTTAACATTGTAGGATCGGTTATATTAAAAACACCTGCCATCTGTTGGACCCCTTCTGTGTGCCAGGCTGTGCCTGGTGCATTTACTCTAATCCTCACTTGGGCAAGAGGGAGGGGAGAGGGAGGCCCAGGGAGCCCCGGGTCGCACAGCCTGTAAGTGGTGGAGCTGGAACTCCTAAGGGCCCCTCCAGAGGCAGGGCCTTCCCCCGCAGAGGGAAAGCGCTCATGCAGCCGACTGCACAACCAGCTGGGGACCGGAGCAAGACGCTCCAGGAGTGCCGGGACAGAAGCAAGCTTTCCAGTGTCTTTGGAAATACCATAACCAGGCTGCTCCCTCAGGAGAGCTTTCTTCTGTTAACTGTTGTTATGCAAAAAGAAAAACGCTGTGACTTTAAGCAGGTCAGGTTTAAACCAGCACCCTGAGTACCCAGCCCAGGGTCCCTGGCCAGTTGATCCCTGACTCAGGAGGAAAAAAAATGTGACATTTTGAATCACCCCTGCCACTTCCTGGTGCAGAGACATCTCTGACTTCTCTGTGTTCCCCCCACCAGGAGTACACCAGGCTATCGCTCACTGTCCTGAGTGTGTCCCCGTCTTGCCACCTGTCCCGCTCTGTGCCAGTGAGGTAGGGGGAGGGGAGACAGGTGAAATGTAGCTCTATTATCTTTTTAAAGGTTCTCTATGGCTTAGCATTACTATAATCACAGTGGATCTGGGGACACCTCTCTTGGCCCAAATGACCTGACTCCAATTTTGGTGTCTCTACCACAGCACGCTTCTGAATCCTTCCTATTCTGAATGGCCATCTTTCAGTGTTGTAGAAGTCACCGCCCTAAGTAGTAAGAGAAAAGCTCCAAACAGGAGAGTCAGAACATACCTAGCCTCTGGTCACCATCACGTCTTGAGCTTTCCCTTGGCTTGAGAGGAGGAGTCCCCAGTGGGGTTTGTGTTACCCATACCTAGTAGCAAGAAACTTGGACACAGAACCCAGACCTCTGACAATGGAGGACCAGACACAGGGGCAGCTGAGTTCAGTGGGAGCATTCCTGAAATCTGTCTTAAAAGTTAACCCTTAATTTCTAATGGCTCCAATGTTTAAAATTTTTTAAATGAAATCATAAAACATTGCCCCCCCACGGGGCGCCTGGGTGGCTCAGTGGGTTAAAGCCTCTGCCTTCAGCTCAGGTCAGGATCTCAGGGTCCTGGGATTGAGCCCTGCATTGGGCTCTCTGCTCAGCAGTGAGGCTGCTTCTCCCTCCCACTCTCTGCCTGCCTCTCTGCCTACTTGTGATCTCTCGGTCAAATAAATAAGTAAAATCTTTAAAACAAAACAAAACATTGCCCCCTTCTGATGAGTTCAGACGAGTTCAGACGAGTTCCATGGCCCAGGTGGGTCCGGGTGACCAGGCCCTTAAGGTCCTATACATATGTCAAATTGCAAACGGGCAAAGGATCAGAATGTACCACTGACTGGTTGTTATCCTAAGGGTGCAGAGCGGCCCTCACAGGCCGGGGAGTGCAGAAGGGGTGAGCAACAGGCCGCTCGCTCTGCTTGCCCCAGGAATGCAGAAGGACTTCAGGAAAAGGGCCAGGGGCACCCATTCCTGGGCCTGAGGCTGGGCCAGCTGTGTCGTGAGCTGGTTGGGCAGATCTATGTTCTCCTGTCCCTATTAGAAAGGAGAATTGGAGGCCAGGAAGAGATTTCTAAGCTCAATTTTGCAACCGCCTTCCCTCAAGGTGGCTCTCACTTTGCCCCAGATTGGTGGAACTCTTCTAAGCCCATGCTTGGAAGTTTGAGTTTAATCCAGAGCTCGGAGAAAACGATTGTGTCTTCTGGAAAGGGAAGTTAGGAGCTCACAGCGGTCCTTCAGGAAAAATGATTCGTCAGTTCAACAAGAATCTGAGCATTTGCTACGTGCCTTTGCTGCACCCCTAACCGTTTCAGCCGGTTACTGTCTTCTTTCAGGACGCGCGAGGAAAGCTGCCAGCATAGTGCCTGGCACACAGGCAGTGTGTCGTAAGGGCCGACTCTTCCTTCATTCCCACTCAAGATAAATGGTGTCTGTATCCAGCAGTGGGAGGTGGTTCTCAATATCCATTATATGGATGGAGATGACTGTGTGGTGTTTGGGGATATGAGAAAGTTCTGGATCTTGGTCTTTAACATGATCTCTGACCTTGTCACACAGAGACCAGCTGCAGCAGAACCGGGAGCCTGTTAGAAACGCAGGATCTCAGGGCCTGCTCCAGACCTACTGAAACCATCCGATTTCTGGGTAATTCTGTGCACGTTTGAGAAGCTCTGGACTTTACTCTGAGGGCCAGGGACCAGCTAGTCCTTTCTCTGGCCACGTTGGGGGCTCGTGGTCTTAGTAGCTTGGTGCATCCCCAGAATGAAGGCTGGGCCTGGAAGGAGGCTTGGCCTTCTGCAGGCCAGCGCGCTCTTGGAAGCACAGGGGTCGCTGACTTTGGCTGTGGGCAGAACAGAGAAGTAGCTCTCATCTCAAATGAATGCAAGCTTAAAGAAATCAGGATGTTGAGAGAAAGAGAAAGAAAGAAACAGAGAAAGGAAGAAAAGTAAAAGAAAAAGAAAGGAAAGGGAAGGAAAAGGCGGGTCTGGGAGAATAAAGGGGAATTCACCGGAGCCTCTCAGTTGATAATACAAGGACAAGTCAAAGCCTTCCTAATTACTGTGTTTAGGAAACAAAGGGTCCTTGCACTTTCCTTTCAAGTAGCCCACAGCTGCGAACTTGTTTCCTTCTTTATCTGTCTGGGAGACAAAGACACTTGCAATTGGAGTTTTGAAATGCAAGGTTATTTCTTCATTTTCCCTTGGGCCGTATGTTTTCTTTTCAAGGAACAGAGATAATGACTGTATTGTGAGGAAAGCAAGGAAGAGGGCTGAGCAGAAATCAATAGAGCTTTGATGGGCCCCTTTCTGAGGGAGGAGAGAGTGAGTGCAGCCACCGTGCTCCTGGTTTTCCTTGAAGAGCACACCTGGAACCCAGGTGGTGGGGGGGCGATGCTGATGGGGCCACACACGCCTTCCAAGATAGCTGATGAAGTCACTCACCGAATGCTTGCTGAGTCAAAATGGCCAGTATGTCAAGACATCGAATAGGCCGTAAGTTCCTCTATGTTTTGGGGGTGTTTTGTTTTTTTTTTATTCATCACACTTGACCTAAGTCAGATTTTTTTTTTCTGAGCCTAATATCCATTCCTAAAAAATCTTACAGCAAAGTGATTAAGAGAGTAAATTCTTGGGGAACACCTGGGTGACTCAGTCAGTTGATTGTCTGACTCTTGATTTTAGCTCAGGTTGTGATCTCAGGGTCGTGGACTCGAGCCCCACGGTGGGGGGGGGGGGGGGGGGGGGGGGGGGGTCCATGCTCAGCGGGGAGTCTGCCTGAGAGTCTCTCTCCCTCCACCCTCCCGCTGTGTCCACGTGTGCGTGCTCTCTCTCTCTCAAATAAAAAGAAATAAATCTGAAATGACAAAGATAGCAAATTTTACATCATGTGCACCTTCCCACAGTTAAAAATTTTAAAAAGTTCACCTCTGATGGCAGATGTTGTCATCCCAGCCCGGTAACGAAAATAGCGTGAAGCGCTGATTGTTTAAGCCTTGACGGTGTCCGTCACCGTCGGCCAGGAGCCAGCAGTCAGTGCCACCCAGTCCGGGCGCTGCAGAGGCACGTTACCTCGAGATCTGGGTGATTATGTAATGAGTTGTGTGACTTCCTGTACCGCCCTCCCCTCACCACACCGGGCCTTCGGGCCGTGCTGCTCTTCCTGACCCGGCCCTGCACACTTCTTGGAGTTCTGCAAACGCTCCTTACACCCACAGACAATCCTCCTTCTCTTGACACTTGCTGTGAACTTGGCTTCTTCCCTTCCTTTATCCGGGTCTCCACCAATGTCATCTGACCCGCGGTTCCCCTCCCAGGCTCATCACATCACCTCTCGGACCCAGACTGCGTTCTGTGTTAGCCCATCCTCAGTGTTCTCCTCTGGATGCTAAGCAAGGACACTCCTTCTCCTCAGGGCTCCCCCTGCTTCCTCCTCTGCCTACCTGCCCAAGCACCAGCCTTCGCTTCTCCCTGCTCTGCCTGCACCCCTCAGCCCTGCCCCCCTCACCCCTGCCCCCTGGGGTTTGTGCACCTCCCTCTGTGATCTCTTCCCAGTCCTGGAGCTGGGGAAGATGAAACCCGGGCCGAGCTCTCTCTCCTTCCCTGCCCATGACCAGGGCGGGTCAAATGCAGGGACTCAGTGTACTTGGATCTTTCCAGTACATGCAGCAGCTTTTGGTCTGTTTCGTGGGTCTCTATTACAGTTGTCCGTCTCTCTGTGCCTGTGTCCGGTGCTAAGCAATTTGAGAGGCCAGGGATGGGCTAATTTCTTCAGTCCCGCACCCAGCCAATCCCTTGCCCAAGTATGAGGGCTCAGTAAAGACACCTTTGAGGGTCTGATGATAGCAGAGCTTTCAAAGTGATAGCTGCCATCCAGTATTAAACCCTAGACTAGAGCAGGATTGTCTTCTGGTCACAAGCACAGCGAATAACAGGCAAAGGAGTGACTGGCCTTATGCTGTTATTTGCACAGTGAGTACATGAATCACAACCGCATCATGGAGTGCGGTCTCTGTGTGGGGAGGGGGTGATTCATGTTTGTTATTTTCAGTGAGACAGTGGGAGTCAGCCAGCTCTGATGAATATCCTTAGAGTCTGAGTTTTACGTCCTCTTTGTTACTGGAAACATATTCATAAAATGCATCTTAGAATGTTCCAGATCCTTTCAAGATTTTATTTATTTGAGAGAGAGAGAGCAAGAGCAGCATGGGGGGTGGGAGGACAGAGGGGGAAGGAGAAGCAGGCTCCCCGCTGAGCAGGGAGCCTGACATGGGGCTCTGTCCCAGGACCCCAGGATCATGACCCAAGCTGAAGGCAGATGCTTAACGGACTGAGCCACCCAGGTGTCCCCTGTTCCAGATCCTTTAATAGCAGGTCAGTTAGCAGAATATCTGTGACAGTCATAATGTCCTTCACAATCAAACACATTAGACACATCTTTTCATGTTAATTAATCAGAGAATACTTGAGCCTCAATTTTAGCAGATTCCCCCCCCCAAGAGTTGTGTGTAAACTATATTTCTGTGAAATGAATTATATTTTAAATACTCAGGGCATTTTCTGTTCAGACCCTCTGATTCTCTGTACCCACTTCTGTCCTGACTTGGGCCATGTACCTGGCTGGTTCAAGGGTGTCTCCAAGTTTTCAATGGTCCCATAGCTCAGTATCTCCCAGGTGAGGGCAGTATGCTAGGTGATCTGTTGGCATGTATGGGGGGGGTTCCCCAAAAGCTGCCCCTTTCTTCTCTTTGTGCCTTTATAAGCTATTGTCTTCCTAGGTGCCAGTGTAACGTTGTTCTGAAGTGTGGAATCTGAAGCTTTTGTTTGTACAAAAGGAAAATGAGGCTGATACTCTGTAAATCTCCAAGCTTGAACTTCTATCAGTTTTTTTAAAATGAAAATGTGTAGAAGGCATTTGGTCATAACTCAGTTATGTCCTAGTTAACAGAAATCATTGGCAGATAAAATCTAGCAGCCACTTTATCAGCAGCCACCCTGAGTAAACTGTCTCTGCCCTCATCCAAGTGCACCCCGTGTCACGGACTGAACCCCCCAGACAGAAAACCACTGAGATGAGTCTGACCACTTGACACGAATTCAATCCTATGAGAAAACACTTCTTTATGTGAAATCAAATATGCTTTTAAAAAGGGCATTTTTTTTTTCCCGGGTGCCTGCGTGGCTCAGTCGGTTAAGTGTCTGGCTTCATGGGCTCAGGTCATGATCCCGGAGTCCTGGGATCGAGCTTCATATCGGGCTCCCTTCTTAGCGGGGAGTCTGCTTTTCTGCCCACCCCTGCCATCGCCACACCCCAGCTCATGCTCTCTCTTGCTCTCTCTCTTTCAAATCAATAAATAAAACCTTAAAAAAAAAAACCCCACAACATTTTTTTCCCCCAATCACCCACCTTGGTACACTCAGGGAAACTGCCAGGTCTTCAGAATTTTCCTGCAGGTCCCCTCCTTCCCTTTTCTATCCTCTTCCCCTTTTCTGGTTACAGTCTTCCCTTTACCTCCTCAGGGAATGATCTGATCTAAGTGACAGATGCTTACCAGCCCTGCCCAGGTAGGCACTGTGGAATCCAGCGCCCCCATCACTGGCCACTGGCCCAGGCACTGCCGTTGTGCTGAGCGAATAAGGCGGTTGGTTACCTCACTCGTTCTTCCACAAGTTAGTAGAGACATCTCAGCTTCAACCAGGGGGAGCGGAGCCTTAATTTTTCGGAGTACTGCTGCCTCGTTTGCATGGGTGATCACATGTGATCCTCACTGCAGCGGGAGGCACGCAATGATTAGCCCTATTTTACAGGTGAGAAGACTAAGGCTTAGAATTGCCCTCCCCCTTGTCCTCAGGTTGTAGAAAGGTGGCCAGTTTTACTGAAGCAATGTCAAGCACCTACTATTCCAGCCAAACAGGAAGCTCAGTTCTGAGCACTGGGCGGGAGAACGCTGGAGCCTACTGCCCTAACCAGTGCGGTGGCCTGGCCAGGCCCTTCCTCCCGGTCCCATGCTCCCCTCTTCCCCTGTCCCCCCGTTGTGTTCGGTTCATCCTTCCCTCTGTTCTGCTGAATTCCTGCATGCTGGCATGTCAGACTTTATTTTAGTTAGTATTTCATTTTTCTTTCTTTTTTTCTTTTTTCTGTCTTACTGGACCTCTGAGCTACAAATGACTTCTGTGTCATTTCCACTTCTGGTTATGAGCTTTTAACCAAGAAGCATGAGGGTAGGATGCCTTCTTTTTATCAGTAGACGTATGACTGTGCCATGATCGAGGACAGATAGAGTAGAGAAGAGCATCGGGAGACTTCTGGAGGAGAGGAACTAAGAAAGGAGTAAGCCTCAGGGTTCCTCAGAGCATCTCCATGGGAAGGGTACTCACCCTCAGAGACAGCTGTGAGGGGAGGATCTCTCTGGCCTGCCTTCGCAGCCAGCGGAGAGAAGTCGTCGCTCAAGGAAACGCTCAAGGAGCAGCAGCGTTTGCTAGGTTGCTCTGATCTGTTCAGTCATCTTTATCGCTGTTATCTCTTGTTTGTCACTTATTTGTTTCTAGAAACAAAGTCTTCAGGGACAGTTTCCTGGCGTGAGACCATGCTCGTACACCAGCTGTCTTGGTGTTCTGAGGGACACAGCTCCCTTGTCCCCGGTACTCCGCTCTGAGCAGGAGCAGTTTCAGTGGTGACTTTCTTGAAGGACGCTTTTTCTCAAGGGCAGCGGGACTATTAAGTGAGGTGTTAGTTTCACATTCATAGTTTCTCTGTTAACAAAAACCACATCTCTCAATTCTGCAACATTCAGAAATCTGATACCATCTTTACTTAAATTATAGCCAAATTTCTGAAATAGAGTCACGGATGATATTTTATAGAATGAAATCTATGGGAAACCCCTCATTTGTTTTTCTGGGTTGGGTTCTTTTTCCCCTTGATCTGACAGAAGGGCCAAGCTTCCTTCTGCTCTGTTAGATGTCAGCATGAGTCTTCAGTAGAGCCAGAAAGTAATTTTAGTTTCTGTGATGACTTTCACTACAGTTGGGTTGCTTAACAGCACAAAAAATAAGTATTTAAGTTAACCTTCCCGACAGGATCTAGATACAGACCCACGGGTCTCTGTCACTCCACTGGTAGAGAGGTGTTCTTCAGTTTCCGTTTTTTTCAGAATTGGACCCTATGTGGCTTTGCATTGGGAAATAAATCCACGCAGCTTTATACAGAGAAACCTGATTTACAATTTATTATCTTCCCCCTGCCCCCCAAAGTCTTTGTACCAACTGTGGACATGCTTCTTCCAGACAAGTCTGCCATCTGTCAGAATAAACAGCAGCCTGTACGCCTCAAAAAAAATATGCACGTGACACAAAACATACAAGAAAGTAAAGCAACAGAAGGCAAATCAATTAAGTGTCACGTCTTGCCATTTTAACTCCTTTTTTTAGGACTTTCCAAGGAATGTATGTGGGTGGGTGGGCAACGGAAAGCGTATTTGCCATAAACAGACTCTCATGTTCCTTATTGATTCAGGGGAGGTGTAGCAGAGAACAAGGTTAGTTGACATAAACTGTGGGCCAGACATCGTGTTAGTAGTTCATTAAGAACTGTAGTAAGCAGGCGCCTGCATGGCTCAGTGGGTTAAGCCTCTGCCTTCGGTTCAGGTCATGATCTCAGGGTCCTGGGATCGAGGCCTGCATCGGGCTCTCTGCTCAGCAGAGAGCCTGCTTCTCCCTTCTCTCTCTGCCTGCTTCTCTACCTACTTGTGATCTCTCTTTCTGTCAAATAAATAAATAAATAAATAAATCTTTAAAAAAAAAAAAAAGAACTATAGTAGGACCCTGTCAATACATGGCTGGTTTTTCTTATCCCCACTAAGAAGTATAAGTACTGTTGTATTATTCACCAAACACAAGTGCTGTGAACAGACTTACCCCAGGCTGACCTCCAGATCAGCTGTTTTGTAGAATAGTTTCCCGGGTGGATCCCAGGTCACTTCTCCCCTACACCTGCCTGTGATGCACAGGGGAACGGTCACACTGGTCCTACTGGGAGAAGTGGTAGGGAGAAGAGTGACGGGGAGACTTCCCTCGAAGCCTTTGGTTACTTTTGGATTTTATATCACATGACTGTATTCTTTAATAACTAGACATTTGTTTATTATTTGAGCGAGAGAGAATGAGAGCGCCTGCATGAGGGGAGGGGCAGAGGGCGAGGAAGGCCAGCTCTCCGGCAGACTCAGTACTGAGTGTGGAGCTGGACATGGGGCTGGAACTCACGGACCTGAGATCACGATCCTGAGGTCATGACCCTGTGCTCACGACCTGAGCAGAAACAAGAGTCCTGACACTCAACCGACTGAGCCACCCAGGCACCCCTAATAACTAGAAATTTAAAAAAGTGTTTCCATTTTATTTGTTTAATGAAGACAAGGATCGTTCAAAAGCTCTATTGTTTTAGAAGGGAACAAGTCAAACTTAAAGGAGAACTGGAAAAAAAGATCCAGATGAATAGAAGGTTGTGTATCTCAATTCAGTTACCAAAGGCCTTCTGCTGCTGGGTCTTGAGCAAACAAGAAGACTGTAGGTAGACCAAGAAATCACCCCATTAACTGCGGCCTTAGGCTAAGATTCCCTATTCCCCGGGGGAGTGTGGTTCTTTAACACTGGAGCAGGAACAGCTTTTTATCAAATTACTGCCTTACTACCGTTGCTACGGATCATAATAGCCACCACCTCACAACAGAGAGCTTGGTCTTGGAGGGTGGCCTCAGACCCCAGTTCTGAGCAGTTGGAAGGGAAGGCTTGAGGACCAGCAGGGACTCCAGAGGCCTGGTGAGATGGGAGACATCAGAACCCAACTCTGTAGGCAAAAGGAAGGATGGGACTGGGAGGGGCTGGCGGGCGTCCATTCATTCACACCGAAACATGGCGTTCAAAGGGTGTACCTGGCAAGGCATCCAGGCAGAAGGAGACTGGCATAAAGGAGCTCCAGTGCATGAAGGAGATCTAGCGCAGGCTAGCTAGAAACCAAGCCCTAGCAGGCAGGCCTCGGGGACTTGGAAGCTGGGAGGCAGACAGGTAGACCCAGTCTGGCCTGCAGCTCCGTGAGATGAGACAAGTCCCCAGGGGACCAGCAGCAGGCCAGCAAATCAGAGATTTGGATTTCCTAATCATTACAGGCACAGGTACTGTGGTTCAGAGAGCAGCCCGGAGCCTGCTCCTGGGAGCGGAGCACGGCTCAGGGTGAGACTAGCACGAGGCAGCCACGGCGACACACGGCGCTGGGTCTGGGGAGCTGCGAAGTCCTCTAGTGAGAGGCTTCTGGAAAAGGAGGGAAGGAAAGTTGGTAGAGAGCCAGCCAGGAAGGGGAAGGAAGACAAAGGCATGGCTTGCCTTCTCCTCAATGTGCAGCTGTCCTCAAGAAAATTGTCAGATTCTTTTTGCTAACTCCCAAATCATAGTTCTTTAAATACATGTATATGCGTATGTAGCCTGTTTCGTTGTATTTGTGTTGCCATCGTGAAGGTCTGAAGCCACACTGCAAGGTACAGAATGTGCCTAAGAACAAAGTAACATTCTGTTTAAGCTGTACCTCCGATTGATTTTCTGCCTCATCCCTGCAAGTTTTCCAGCGGCAGAATGGCTGCTGCTTCTGAAGAGATCCATAACCCTAGAGCTCTGTCAAGCAGATATGTTGTTTTGGGGGTGATACAAATGTTCTAGAATTATATAGCAGTGGTATTTGCACGGCCCTGTGAATATATTAAAACCACTGGCATGTACCCTCTCAAAGGGTGAATTTTATGTGAGTTGTCTATTGATTTTTAAAAAAGAAAACACGTCCAGGTATAGAGTCACAGTAAGCTTAGGAGCGAGGAATGGAATCGAAGGGACAGTTTGAAACTCTGTTTAAGAGCTACGACACCCGGTCACGTCTGGAGTCCTTAGACCTTCCCCTTCTTGCCAGGAGGTATAACGCCCCGGGTTAGACAGCGGGCTGAGTGGATCCCGGCCACGCTCACGGATAGGCCGACAAGCCGTCCACCTGCTCACATCCGATGATGCTCGACGGGACCGCGCTGTGGAGCCCAGGGCAGCGCCAGGAGGCTTGTGACAGCGTGCTCAGCAGCCCGCCAGGTCACAGGGTAGCCCTCTCACCAAATTCCCCTAAAAAGAACCTCTCTGTGTGTACCATAAAGCCCAAGCTTATCTCACAGAGACTGTTGCAGCTTTCGAACGGGGCAGAAGCAATTGATAACTTTATCAGCAGAAGCGAGGCCCAACCACACGCGTCTCCTGTTGGCTTCTGTCGTCGGGGCACAGGAGCGCTCACATGCCGTTAGGCTCAGCCCAGGCCGACGGGGCAGGATTCGCACGGGCCGTGTCCAGCTTTTCTGTGTTGCTTCGGCTCGTCTCTCCTCCATGCACGTTGCTGTGCGAGGCACGCCAGGGCTGCCCGCCAAGACGCGGCTGCCTCTAAACATGGAAAGGGACAGAGAAGGGGAAGGAGGGGTGGTTTCTGTGCAGTCGTTCTTGCTGGTTTTGTCCATTAGCCCTTGTCCCATGGCCGCAGCGCAGAGCCCCCAGCATAGGAGCCCATGCCCATGGGGAGCGCCGGGCCGACCTGGCCCACATACAGCCTTCCCGGCGCAGCAGGATGTGCAAGCACATTGACCTTGTCGTTGACCTCACCCGAATGGTCCCTGCCCCCCCCCCCACCTCCCTCCATATGCCCTTTGCCGGGCCAGCGTGCGGTCAGACAGGTCCACATTGGCTGTGCCCCCCACAGCCCATTCCGCTGGCCTCGGGCTTTCTGGGTGTGGGGCTCTTTTCAGAACTGAGGTCTCTGGGGCTGCATGGCTTCTTCTAAGCTCTGTGATTTCTATACCTTCAGTCCGTCGGGCGAGCCCTCTGTGAGCTCTGTCTGGGCTCCCACCACTCTGCCGATGGGCCTCCGCTGCCACCCCCATCCCATGTGCCATAGAAGGCCTCAGTGGCTCTGTCTGACCTGTTCACACCATTTTTTTTTAAAGATTTTATTTATTTATTTATTTATTTGACAGAGACAGAGAGAGGGCACAAGCAGGCAGAGGGAGAGAGAGAAGCAGGCTCCCCACCAAGCAAGGAGCCTGATGCGGGACTCGATCCCAGGACCCCGGGATCATGACCTGAGCTGAAGGCAGACGCTTAACCCACTGAGCCACCCTGGCGTCCCCTGTTCACACCATTTTAAGTGGTCTTCCCCGGCCCTCCTTCCCCTGCCGGTTGCTTTTCCCTCCTCTGATTTCTCCGTATCCTGTAAGACAGAGCTCACGTATCACGGCCCTTAGGACACCCTCCCTGACCTTCTCTAGCTGAGGCAGGGGCCCGTCTGCCCCTGGTTGGGGGCAGAGGGATGTAAGCCCCCTGGCATGTGTAAGCCCCTTGAGGGCAAGGCTTGTAACTCGGGATCCCTAAGACCCAGGAGGGATCTTGGTCCTTGGTCTGCGGCACCTCGTGTCTGTTCAGCTAGACCCCCTGCTGCCTGGTCGCCCGGCTCAGTGTCCAATGTGACTGCCTGTCCGCAGCGCTGTTGTTGTTTCTCTCAGTCCGAGAAAGCTGATGCAGAGAAGAGCTTTTCTGTGACAAAGTGGTAAGAATCTCTGAGCGACGGTAGGGGACTTGGCTTTTTGTTTTGTTTTGTTTTGCTTTGCTTTACCTAGATGGGCGGATTTGGAAATTATATTTGTACTAGACTTTACAGAGGCTCAAAAAGCTTAAACAGCTTGTCAGGGGGTCCCTCAGCCAGCAGGCGGTGAGGACTCCTTCAGACAGGCTCCGGGGTCCAACCCCGCAGGGTTCCTATGACATCCTGCTGTCCCGCTTTAAGACATTCTCAGCAGGTTTAAATGTTAAAAGGTAAGCAGTATTAAAAATCAGAGGAAGCGTGTAACACCAAATTGGACATCCCTGGTATTTGATACCCATAGTAAGGGTCCTCCTTATGTTCTCCTACAGTCTTGTGACCAAATTTGGGACTATAATCCATCATATTACCAGATATTTTTTAAAAGACTTATTTATTTTAGAGAGAGAGAAAGAGAGAGGGAGAGCCTGGGCAGCGGAAGGGGTAGAGCGGGGAGGCAGAGGTTCCTCCAGCATACTCCTCGCTGAGCACCAAGCAGACTGCCAGCTCGATCCCAGGACCCCGAGATTAGGCAGGACCTGAGCAGAAACCAAGAGTCGAACATGTAACCAACTGAGCCACCCAGGCGCCCCATAACCAGAATATTTTTAAATGCTTTATTGGATTTTTAAGCCAGTATCCGTTGGCTTTATACGTTCTTAGTGGGGAACGGGCTAGTGCAGGAAAGTGACATTCTGGGGGGAGGTAATATCACATAGAGCAGTTTCAAGACTGTTTATTGTATTTTCTTACGCTTTTCAGAAATGGAATTCAGTGATTCGCTTTTTATTTTATCTAGAAGGGACTTGTGCAAACTCTCTGTCTGATGTCAATTTTTTTTCAGGTGACTTTTCAGATCACCCCTCCGTGTACCCGTGAGAGGCATTATGAGCATTCTGGACGATGCTGTAACAAGTGTGAGCCGGGTGTGTATTTCTGAGCCCTCTCTCCTTGTTCCTCAGAAGTGGACGGGGCTTTCATTTTATCTTTTAAATTCAAGGGATAATTTCAACGCTGCCTGCCTAAGAAAAAGCAGTTGGATAGTGGCAGGGAGTAATGTGTCCCTCTGAAGACAAAAACCTTTCGATAGATAACATTCCTTAAAAGCAGTTGTAGAAGCTAGTACTTAATTTATGCTGGAATATGGTTTTCCAAAACACTATTTCTTGAGAAAGCGAGGTTATATTTTATATATTTTAGCACTTTGCAATTCAAACTTTCAACATATAAAATGCACCTCTTATTTAAAAGTATTTTTACAGAAAAATTTCTTGGGGGGAATAACCATACTGGAGTTGTTGCTGCTGCAAATTGCCTAAACCCTGTTACACCTTCTCCTCACACCCCTGTTGAGAGGCAGGACTGCTCACCTCCCCCCACAGCTGCTCTGCCAGAACGCGGCCGAGTGTTTCTATGGCCTCAGTGAAGTCCCGAGTCCGCAGGTTCTTCCTCACTCACTCATTGTTCTAGAAGCGGTGGTTAATTACATCAGGACATCAGGATCCTTTAGCTATTCAAGCTATAAATATTTCTCGGATATGTAGAACTAAGATCCAGTGATTTTTGGGAGCGTGCGTGTGTGTGTGTATGCGTGTGAGTGTGTGTGTGTGCGTGTGTGTGTGTGTGTTACTCTGGTCATTCTGTTAATTGAGGGCCCACGGTAGATGTAGGACAAAGGAAGTTAACACTCCAAATTGGCAGTGGAGGGGATCTTGAAGATGGGAGGACAGGGGTGCAATGAAATTCTTGCTTAGCCCCCAGGGAGGCCCTCAAAATTTTATAGGCACGTTTGAAAACCATCATCTTTTCCTTGGTCAGCAGAGGTGTGTGGTGGGAAAGGTGATCTTTTACTGAGATGAACTAAAATGTGGCTGTGACCAAAGAGACACAGCCAACTTAGCAGAGATTGTTTATTTTTTTTAAAGATTTTATTTATTTGACCAAAAGAGCACAAGCAGGGGGAGGGGCAGAGGGAGAAGGAGAAGCAGACTCCCCACTGAGCAGGGAGGCCCAGGTGGGGCTTGATCCCAGGACCCCAGGAGTGTGACCAGAGCCGGAGGCAGATGCTTAACCAACTGAGCTTAACCAACTGGGGGAGGTTGTTTTAGCCAGCTGGGCAGCCTGAGGAGCCCATCACTGGTACGTGTCCCCATTCCGTGTACCAGACTGTGTTAGGGGACTTCCTAGGATCACAGTCATTTAAATGGTCTGGTAAATTGCTGTATTTCTGTTGTTATTTTAGGGGGGTATTTTTCACTGGTGCATTTTTTTTTCTTCTAATTGAAGGAAAGTACATGTCTTCTAAATGCACTACTACCTCGGAAAGTGTATGCTTGCCCTGTGGCCCAGATGAATACTTAGACACCTGGAATGAGGAAGATAAGTGTCTGCTGCATAAAGTTTGTGACACAGGTGAGTCAGTCATGTCAGCAGGGAGTGTGGATAAGTGCTATTTTTAGATACAGTAGTGCTCTCTCTTTTGGAGGGTATAGGAAGAAGTCTTTGACCGTGGACCCCCAGAGGTAAGTGCTTCAGATCCCAGAAGCATTGTATTAACATTCTTCATTTAGAACCTTCTTTCTGGAATATAATTGTGTCTCAGTGTAATCACGGAGCACACGTGTTACAGTTGACAAAATCTTGCCACAATGTTTCTGTGTATGTTGTATTATTTAATTTCCACAGAAACCCTGCCAAGGAGCCACAGTTATTCCATTTTAAAGAGGGAGAAAGAGATCAGAAGAGGTTCAGTTACTTTTCCAAGGTTAACAAATGAGAAGCTGAACTCAAAGCCAGATCTGACTCTCAGGACTTTTTCCTGAACCTTAAGTGTCTTCCTAACTCTACAGTTTGATCTTACAGGGCTGCTATAGTTTTTTGTTTGTTTTCTACTCAAAAATTTTTTTAATTATAATTTAATTGTAGGAATCAGAATCAAAATATGTCCCTTAATTTAGGGGTTCCTTTCCGTCTTTTTTTTTTCTTTTTTGTTTTAATCTCTCTGTTAGAGAGACCATATTGTCAGTCCTGTGGGTTACAGGAATCCTGTAGGTCACAGTCTAATTTTTGCTGGTTGCACTCCTTGGTGTCATTTAACGTATTTTTCTGTCTCCTATATTTCCTATGAGTGGTTGTTGGATCTAGAAGGCTGGTGAGAAGCTGGTTTGTAGTTTTTATTTTTTATTTATTTATTTAATTTTTTTTTTTTTTTTTTTTTTTGCAAAACCATGTCACAGTTGGCATAATCTAGTTACGTCAGGGTCATATAGAAACTGCTTATCTCTCTTGTGATATGAGCAGCTGTTGACCATCATGGCCTAGACCCATTTTCATGAGGAGCTGTAGGTAGATGACCTTCTATCATTCCTCCTTCATGAATGGCTGGATACTTTATGAAGGGAAGCTTTCCTGGGCAGCTATCCATCTCCCTGAAGTACAGTCTATACAGGAAAGGCAGAATGAATGCTTGTAGCTTTATTTACCACTTTTCAAGATCATAAATTGATCTCTACGCTTCTCCAAAGGATTTTTATGACTATGATAAACTCAGCCATTCAGACATATTTGAGGTGTTTTAATCTATTATAGTTCCTCGTTGTATGGATGCTCGGATTGTCTCACCTCTTCCAGGGACCCCCCATCCCCCTGCCCAGTCTTTGATGTGACCCCAGGTGACCTTAAGAGTTCTCCTTGCTTCCAGGTTCATCCTGGACATTCCCTGCCTCAAACCTCGAATCAGTCATTTCTTTTAAGAATTCATGATTGCTTACCACAGAACATCTTATTTAGCGACCTCAGTCTGGGTGCTAGGGAGGTTCACTGCTACCGGACTGATCCTTGTTTATAGGTTCTTTTCAGTGGACAGAACTAGGAGTGAAGTATTTTTTTTAAACATCATAACTTTCTAGTGGGTTAGAGACAGCTGGCAGATTTTGGCCGCAGAAAGTAACATGGAAACTCCACTGAGCAGAAGCATCTGATCAAATCTTTTTTCTTTCCCATTGCTTAGTAATGACCTTGACTCACTGCTGTCTCTTGGAAATAAAGATTCATTCTGTCTACTGCCAAAGTCAATTAAAGCCCCAAACCTGGTACATTAAGATATTTAAAAGCATGTCAGAATTGTTCACCACCACACAGGCTTGTGTTCACTCACAACTAAGTGGGGCTGTGGGACTAGAATTTTCCAAAGAAGTGACCCTTGTCCGTGTCTGTTCTGGGCATTAAGCACATGTTTAGGTAGAGTGGCCTTCGTGCTGCACCAGTGACCTGGGCCTCCCAGGATGGACCCAGGAGGGACAGAGGAAGATTTCTCCAGGTTTGCCACACTCTGGTCTGAAAGGAATGGAAATAGGAAACGTCCCCTCCCTGCTGGCAGTAACTTGAGACAGCAAAGGAGACAGGGTTCTGGTTTGCCTGTTTATCTGTCCCTTGGTACTCTGTCCTAGTCCGTTCAAGCTTCCATAATAGAACAGCACAGACTGAGGGGCTTACACAACAAACATTTATTTCTCATGGTTCGGGAGGCTGGACATGGGAGACAGGGTGCCAGTATGGTTGGGTTCTTGGTGAGAACCCGTGTTAGGATTTCAAGACACTATTTTCTTGCTGTGTCTCCACATGATGGAGAACAAAGAGGGAGGAAGCAAGCTCTCTACTGTCTCTTTTGTAAAGGTACAAATCCCACTCGTGTGCCCTCCAACCTCATGGCCTTACCACCTCCCAAAGGCTACACCTCCTAGGACCATCACTTTGGGGGTTAGGATTTCAACATGAGTTCTGAGGGGACACAAACATCACTCCATAACAGACTCCTATAAGTACTGAGGAGTATAAGTCCATGGCTTATGGAACAATCCAGGAGCGATGGGGTCCTGTAGGGGTGGAAGGTCTGTTTCAAATAGTATTATTGTGTTTCATTGTTGTGTGTGTATGTGTGTGTGTGTGCAGGTTGATTCTTGTTACTCATAGAATAATGTCAGTGTTCTGAACTAGCAAATGCTAAACCATTGCTCCTAAGGGAAACACAGGGTTAGGTTCCTATGAGCCTCTGGTCACATTTTTGTGGACAGATCCACATATAAACTTGTTTTATGTGTGTTTCTGTTTAAAAACACCATAGCAAATACTTTGATTCATTAACATTGAACTTAGAACCAACAGTGCTGTAACTCATGCCTGAACAAAGTTTATCTAACATGTATTTGCTCATGAGACACATCACAGCCTTCTTGGTCCTGGAAACAACATACAGCACTTCAGCACTGTGACTGTGGGCCATCGTGAGCAGTGGAATCACTAACAAAAAGCACAGAAATGCCCAGAATGGAACACTAAGTAGACCACAAAAAGGAAGCTTACTTCCAGTCTAAGAGCTATAGTGAGAAGGCAGAGTGTGACCTTGTTTGACCACAGCTGAGAGCATGTATGTCCAGCCCATGGCTGGAAATTTCCACCGTTCTGCATGCGTCCAAAATTGACTGCCAAAGTACCATGAGCACTGATTTGGGGGTCACACTGAAATGTTAGTGAGTGGGTGAAATTGCAAATAGAAGGCAACAAATAATGAAGATAGACTGTGTGTCAGCATGATCTCTATTTCACCAAAACTGGAAAGGGCAGGAGATTTGGGACAAGAAGGAGAGCAGTTTGCTATGTGTTGTGAGATGAGAGACAAGTAACACACGGATGACCCTAAGTAATGGGGGGGGGGGCGGCGGGTGGTGGTGGTGGGGGGGGATTCACTTCCAAGTGTGCCATCAGGGTCGGCCTCTGTAAACGCATTCCCTTTTCTAATTACCTGTGACCTCTGTTCCCACAACTCTCAGTACTCCCATGGTCCTGCAGGATCCCAAGATGAATCCCCAGTCTCCAGAACCCTACACTCCTACGTTCAGTCTAGCATTCCTGTTCAGAATATGTCTCACATTGGAATTTACTAAAAACCAAGAAACTGTGCAGTCTATTTTGCATTAGGATCCTCAACTCCCCAGTTCTTAATCCTCCTCCTAGCCTTAAAACTATTAAAAACCCACAAGACTCTTAGTTTTGGGGAGTGGAGTAGAGAACCAGCCCCACTGGGATGTTTTAGTGCCAGCACAGGAAGGGGCTTCTCGAAACCTACTGTCCTGCGCAGCCAGGCTGCTGGGGAGTTGCTCGCGGGCTGGGGGTTGCTGGAGGCGGAAGGCGAGCAGCCTGAGCAGCCGTGTCTCTGTCTCCCGCAGGCAAGGCCCTGGTGGCGGTGGAGCCCGGCAACCGGACGGCCCCGCGGCGCTGCGCCTGCACCGCCGGCTACCACTGGAGCGCCGACTGCGACTGCTGCCGCCGCAACACTGAGTGCGCCCCGGGCTTCGGCGCTCAGCTCCCGGGTACGGGTTCGGATCGCGTGGCCCTGGCCCTCGCCGAGTCGTGCGCTTCGGCCAGGGTCAGAGCGGGCTTTGAGGGGCGTCCCTCCATCACTCGCGCTCCGGGGAACCCGGTGGCGCTGGGGCAGCTCGAGGGGCACCCGGAGAAGGGCCACGTGACCCTCTTCCAGGGGAATGGGAGCGCGCGGTGCACGTGCTCCCTGGAACGCTCCTCCCTCTGGGAAACCTGGGGATCCCCCCTTAGGCGGGCAGGGGTAATGCAGGGGGCCAGAGACTTTTTTTTTTTTTTTTTTTAAACTGGCACACACATGCCCCCCACCCCCCTGGAAGAATTCTGAAGAGCCATGCGCCCCTGGCAGATTTTTAAGTCGGCAGCTAACGTTTTTTATTGCCAACTTAAAGAGTTGCTAAGGAATTCGTTTCCAAGGAATTTTAACAGCAGTAACACTTTTAAAAATGGAATTCGGCGGAATCCAAACACCGTAGCAATTTGATAACACCATCATCCTTGTTAAAATGCACTCATCGTCCTTCACCGTTGCAAGATGTGTGCAGTTCTCGTCTCTCCTTGGATTTGTATCCATTTCACCTTCCCAGGAGAATTTTACCCTAAAGGGTTTTATGCTTGGAGGGCTTTTACTAATCACCTTTTCATGCACTTTCACATCAAAATTATGCACCCATTTGGGATCGTAATTTTAAAAAATTTCCTGTGATTCAAGGTTCTAAGAGTTAAAACACTTCCAGACTAAGTTGTTTTACAGTTATTACAGGATTGTCAAAAAGTGCTATATTTTGCTATATTGTAGTTGTAAACGCTTTACAAACTTAATATTGAGTGTTTTTTCCTGATTCATATATTCATGGTTGAATATTATTTATTGCTGAAATGTAACAGATTTCAACATTAATTCTGTTTCCACTAAATGCTGAGAAACTCGCTCACATAAATAACTCAATGGCTAAGGAAGCCTTCTGGTAGAGGAGTGTGCATCAGTTCTTTCAACACTTTCTGAGTTACATGTCCAGGACACAGTAGTGTGACATCAGAAGCTGCTTTTATTTTTTAATTTTTAATTTTTTTGTTTTTGAAGATTTTATTTATTTGACAGTGAGAGACATAGCGAGAGAGGGAACACAAGCAGGGGAAGTGAGAGAGGGAGAAGCAAGCCTCCCGCTGAGCAGGGAGCCCAACGTGGGGCTCAACCCCAGGACCCCAGGATCATGACCTGAGCCCAAGGCAGACGCTTAATGACTGAGGCACCCAGGTGCCCTAAAAGCTGTTTTTAATCATCTCTCAGTTAAGAACTCAGTTGTGTTCTCAGTTTTGTTAAGAGTAAAGAAATAGTATCTTTTTGCCAGAAAAGTAGTTCTTAGAGTTCTTTACCTTCCTGATTTCTGGAAAGTACCCCAAGCAGTTTTTTCAAGGTGTAACAAATGATTATCCATACCTGTTAATCTTTCACTTAGAGGCATCTTTTTTTAACCCAGAAGACTTGGATGGGGGTAGGAGAATTAAGATACTATTCATTTGAATTCGTACGGAGGAATATGTCCATCAGAGTCTCACTGGTACCGTCAGTCCTTATTACCAAATGTATCAACCAAGCCAGATGAGCTTTCTCTTGGAAAAAGTCTGACTTGATTTTTTTTTTTTTTTAAAGAGAGAGAGAGAGAGACAGGACTGGGGGAGAGGAGCTGAGAGAGAGAATCTTCAAGTAGACTCCCAGCTGAGGGCAGAGCCTGACTTGGGGCTCCATCTCATGACCCTGAGATCACGATCTGAGCCAAAATCATGAGTCCAATGCTTAACAAACTGAGCCACCCAGGCGCCTCCTGATTTTTTAATTATTAAAATAAATCTCCTGATGACAGCCAACTTCCTTATGAATTTGATTCTAAGACAAGGCCACGAGCCTTTCTGTATCGCAGTGCTCTGAATCACGGGAGCTTTGCTCTTAGCAGTATTTTGATTTGTTATGGGTTTTGTTTTGTTTTGTTTTTGGGATTTTTTGTTTGGTTTGGTTTTGGGTTTTTTTTTTTTTTTTTACATAGCAGGATTTGGAGTGGATAAGCAGTGTGCCTTCTTTGTAAAATGGGAACAGGGTGATTGTGTCAGGGGGAAAGGGAAAGGAGAACCTGTAGGATGCCCCTGGCAGGTCAGTGCTTCAAAGAGTTAATGGGAAATAAGTGCATTTAATTTAATTTAATGCCCTTAAACCTACCTGTAACTCGTGGCTCCTTAGGAAGTTGCTTTGTTTTTAGGGGTTACCCTTCTAGAGTGTGTTAATATTGTAAAAAGCTGTTTGAATTCATGTGAGCAGCTAGATGTTAACTGGGCTTTTGTGAAGATCATTACAAGGTGACTCAGATTATTGGATTGAGGGGGGCACCCTGCTTACTGAGGCAATTGCAGAAATTAAGAATGCACTTCCCATTTTTGACTTTGGACCAAGAAACTGTAATTCCTTATTTTAGTGTTTTAGTTATGACAATAAATCACAGAAGCGCTACTAATTTCAAGAGTAAATTGTGGTTTGGGCACCAGTCAATTGCCTGATTATGATATCACGTGGAAGCCAATGTTCTTCTTTATTGGAATTACCAAAGGGCCATCACGTGTCAGTTGCAGTGAGGCTAATAGACGTAGGAAGTTGGAGACATGTCCTATTTTGATAATGTAGTTGAAGAGGAAGGTGAGAGAGCTGGAGAAAGCTTCCTAACCAGGATCAATTCTTGCTCTCACTGCTGTGGCTTGTGGCAGGGGTCCAAAATCCATTCTACCCCTTGTGTTGATGTAAATAAGAGTGTTAGTGGAACACAGGCACGTCTCTTTGTTTGCGTATTATCTCTCATGCTGCAAGTAATTACAGCAGAGATCAGAGGGCCCGCAAAACCTGAAATATTTATCATATGGCCCTTTTTAGAAAACATTTTGCTGCCAACTCTTGATTTAAGAGAGAGATTTGCAGGGGTTTATTGGGGGGGTGTTTTTTTAATGTTTTTGTTTGAGAAAAGTGTGTTACAGTCACTCTCGTGTTTGGACTGGTAAGATTTATCTGGTCAGAAGGAGTCAGGACAGGAAGTTTGCCTTAAAGGTGGGAAAAGGCCTGTCCTTTTCCCACCTGATATAAACTGACTGATATAAACTCAAAAGGCTGAAAGGGGAGGGCAGACAGGTGCCTGGTGAAAACAAGGGAGACAGCAGGTTTCCCAGCTGGGAAAGAGGCTCGGTGACCAGGACAGTGGCTCTGAACAGCCAAGGGGCAGTGCCTAACTCAGATACTGACATCATTTACCTTGCTGAATGTAAGTCAGTAACCTCCTGCTGGGTCTGGGGGCCTTCTGAAGCCAGGAGGACCCGGACCCATCAGCCTCAGGAGGTGAGGGTGGGAATGGAGGCCAGAGGCCCAGGGGGCAGCTCCTGATCTCTGGTCCTCTGGAACATCGTCCTGGCCGATCTCTAAGTGTCCTTGTTTGTTTTGCTTGTTCTTTTGTCCTTCCGTTTTTTTGACAGTGCAGCTCAACAAGGACACGATTTGCAAGCCCTGCCTGGTGGGCTACTTCTCCGACACCTTTTCGTCCACCGAGAAATGCAAACCTTGGACCAAGTAAGTGGCAACAGGGGAGCCAGGAGAGTGTGCTGATTTCTAATCTCGACCTGCACTGTCTCATCTAGGTTGAAACCAGACTGATTGCATTTGGTGAGGCTTCTGCTCAAACCCATTTTCAGAACGGGAAAGTCTGTCAGTTCAGCAGGGGGAAAATCAACCAGGCCAACTCATCTCCAGCTTCACGGGCAACAGGAGCTCTGTGTGACTTTTCAGATTTGGATGGACCAAATCTTTGACTTACAGTTGCAGCTTCTTTTGTCCTTTTCCTACCCTTAGTTACTTAAAAATGATTTACGATGTTCATTATTCTTCACTCGACACTCCTACCGCGCCACCAGTTTATTGGTCCAGAAACGTGTGTGTGTGTGTGTGTGTGTGTGTGTGTGTAGTGTGTGCGCATATAGAAGCTCCTGTTTATAGAAATGTTTGCATATTCTCAACACCTTGGGTTTTTTTTTAACATAATATATGCTAAAGGAAGCTCATTCCATATTTGTTCACTTAGATCTTTGTGGCTTCTTGTAGCTTAGAAAACATTTGCTGCCAATTCTTGGTTTGTACCATAATTTATTTTGGTGGGGATGTACCATAGAGACATACCGTAGTTTTACTTAGTAAATTCCCTATAGGTAGTCGTGCTGGTAGTTTCTAGTCTGTTGTGGTAAGAACTAATTCTGCAATGAATCATCCCATCTATATACTGGGTTTCACACTTAATGTGAGTGTATGTGTATATACATATATATATACATAATATGTATATGTAATGGAATTATATGCATTATACAGTGGAATTATATGTGGAATTATATATATATATGTATATATAGTGGAAATTTTTGGTCCTTCCATTGCATGCTTATTATTAAATACTGATATAGTCCCAATATATTTTTTAAAGATGTATTTATGTATTTATTTTAAAGGGGGGGAGGGGCTAAAGGGGAGGGAGAGAGAAAAATCTTCGAGCAGACTCCCTGCTGAGTGCAGAGCCTGACACGGGGCTCAATCTCACTTCCCTGAGATCATGACCTGAGCCGAAATCAAGAGTCAGACGTTTAACCAACGGAGCCACCCAGGTATTCCCCACCGGGAATATATTAGTTCTCATTAGATATTTATTTTCTGATTCATTTATCCAATTTTTATGTTGAAAAGATTTTTTGTGTTTTCAGCTTCAAAAGAGCTTTCGTCCAAAGTTTATCACTCAGACAAAGGCAGCTGAAGCACTTGGCATCTTCTTCACTCAAGACACAAGTGTACTCTCTTTCGCATCATAGTGTCAGAGTGGTTCTTGGAGAACCCTGGTAGTGGTTACTTTTGCTTATTCATTGGTCCACGTGTAGACAGACACCGGGGATTCAAACATGCAGGAAGACCTCTCAGTTCTTCTCCGGGGGAAGCTAGCAATCTAGCGGAGTAGAGCCCTTTGTGCCATGTTTTGTTTTAAGCAAGATTAGAAGAGCAAAGCAGTTGACTACCTTTACCTCCACAGCTGTAGCATTCTTGGAGAGACAGAAGCACGTCACGGGACTGATAAGTCAGATGTGGTTTGTAGTTCTTCTCTGCCATCTGCAAAGCCACCAAGAGGTATGTTTAAACACAGCGGGTTGGCTGTAGCTGTGCCCAGTCTAGTCAGCAATTCTAGATTTCTCCTGAACTACATGCTGTGTCTGAAGGGGTTCACTGGTCCCTCATCATCCCATTTTATCCGTGGTCACTTTTATCAGTATTTTAACTCCAGATATGTTGTGTATTTGGAAATTTCTACTCTGAAGTGGATAACTAATAAAGTATTCATATATACAAAAAAAAAGAAAGAAAGAACAGAAATGGAACTGCAAACATAAATTAAAATGCCCCAGTGTGGCAGGATTGTGGAGGGCCCAGTAGGGGTGTCTGTGGGAGATTTGGGTCACCAACCAGAGTTAGAATATAGCTAGCGGTTTACATGGCACATTTTGTAGATCAAGTTAACCTGAAGTACAATTTCAAAGCCTAACAGAGTTGACAGTTCATGATGGAGTTCATGGACAGTTCTTGGTTGCCCAGGGGCGTGAGACAGTGCAGAGGTGGATCCAGACATGGCAGTGCTAGAAACGGACACATGGCAGGAAGGACCCTGGCCACAGATTAATAAGGTTAACGAACTAAGAACATCAAGCATTTAGATTTTGACATTTGGGAAATAGGAGGGTATCTAAGCATTCTGGATATGGGGTTACACAGAGTAGCCTATAAGAAAGACCATTTAAAAAGATAACATTGAAAATAAGAGAGGGAATAGAAAGTTACTTTTTTCTTTTTTAAAAAATATTTTATTTATTTGACAGATATCACAAGTAGGCAGAAAGGTGGGGGGGTGCGGGGAAGCAGGCTCCCCGCTGAGCATAGAGCCCCATGTGGGGCTCCATCCTAGAATCCTGGGATCATAACCTGAGCCGAAGGCAGAGGCTTTAACCCACTGAGCCACCCAGGCGCCCCCAAAGGTTTTTTTTTAAACAAAAGTGAAGATAATCAGAGAATTGATTACTCTTTAACCCCTTTTTCTCATTGTCTTTCAATACAGAGCCCCTGATTTACTTGCCCAGTTTAATTATTCTGCTTCTCTTCATCTCCGTGGCTTTGGTTGCCGCTGTCATCTTTGGTGTTTACTATAAGAAAAAAGGGAAAGCACTAACAGGTACTGTGTCCGCGCTGGTTTTTTGAAAATTAAGTTTAAAGAAAGGAGATACATTTCTAGATATGTGTGCTCATCACTACCTGGTGACCCCCCCTTGAGTAAGGATCTCCACACGGTTGCTGTTAAACTAAGAAGAAATACCCTTTATACCTAATTCATTGTTCTCCAGTCAAAAAAATAAACAAAAACCTGTGGTGCCTGTTGATGTGTAAGCACACAGAATATGCTGGGTTCAGAACACGGATGCCTCATAAGCTGTGTGTTCCCGTCAGGGAGGTCAGGCACCATCAGTGTGAGCGGGTCGCCTATATCCAGGAATACCAATGGGTTTAATGTCACGACGTATTTGACATTTACATGAAGCTAACAGAGTGTTATTTTTTTCAAGATTTTATTTATTTATTTATTCATTTGAGAGAGAGAGAGAGAGCAGGAGGAGGAGGAGGGCACAGAGCAGGAAAGGCAGGCTCCCTGCTGAGCAGGCAGCCCCATGTGGGGCTCAATCCCAGGACCCTGAGATCATGAGCTGAGCCGAAGGCAGAGGCTTTAACCTACTGAGCCACCCCAAGAGCGTTATTTTAAAGAAAGGGTTCCTTGAGAGATTTCGTCATGCTTTCGGTCAGCTCTTCTCCTCTAGGAGCACTGCTGTCTTGTTATCCTTTCTCCCCTTCTGGCTGCACAGGGTATCACGTCCACCTCCTCCTCGCTGCGACGTGATCAGGTCTCCTGCGTCCCACGTGTGGACTTCTGAAAGCCTGCCTATAGTGCTCCTTTCCCACAGCGGCACGCTCTGTATTATGCCTGGGCCAGCAGAGGTTTTTAAAGAGGGAAGATGGTGTTTGAAGATGGCCATGTTAAGTGGAGAACAGTGTTAAATGGCTTTTTTTTAAGAGTCGACTCATTATTGAGTATTTTTATTTAATGCCGCTCCACTTCCCTAGCCACCTGCTAACTAGGGATTAGAAACTGCACGGTCCAACGATGAGGCTCGCTGGTGGTGTCCTGTTTATGTGGGATACACAGAGGTCTGTTTTTTTTTTTTTGTCTCTACAATAATCTCTTTCTGCCATATCTTATCAGTGAGAGGGACAATGGGCCTACCAGTTACTGAATCAAGACGTAGAACTGTTAGCCCTCTCTTTATCCATTCATGGGGGGCCCCAGTTTATTGGCCCCCCGGGGTAGGACCAGTCCTGGGGGCTCCTTACCGAGTGGCACAGTGAGTGCCCTTGTCAAGGAAGCGGTCAGGGCAGCATGAAGCCCCCAGACTGAGGCAGAGGACTGCAAGCGAAGTTGCAGAGTCCCAGCAGATGACGGGGTCGTCTGGTCGTGCAGCCAGCAAGGGCCTCCCAGAGGAGACTAGTGCTGAGATATGAAAGCCAGTTGGAACGGGCTAAGGTTTGTGCAGCTGGACAGAAAGCCAGAGCCAGCATGAGACAACACAGGAGAGGAAGGCGCAGCCAGATGACGCAGCCCCCAGGCTTGATTAGGGAGTTTGCTCATGGTGCTTCGCAAACAGAAGGAAAACTAGCCCTCTGGTCGTAGGATAGAAAAGAAATTCAGGGGTACAGTAAGACTGGATGGAGACACACGAGTCGGGAGGGTGTTTGCTGTCATCCAGGAGAGAGATGAGCTTAGTAATTATGAATATCTCCTCGTGCACAAAAGTCATTTTTTTAGTATCATTTGAGATTATCTGGTACGGATCCCTACAAGGGAAGAGCTACAAGTTTCCTTTAATTTGGGGTAACTTTATGTAATTTTGAAACTAGAGAAAGGAAGCAAGAATAGTAACAAAGATGATAACAATAGCTGACATATATTGAACATTTATTCTGTACCAGCCCCACTTAATGTACTCACGAAATCACAGCAGCCCCACGAGGCAGGCACCGCTCTCTCCCCTTTCATGATGAAGAAACGGAGACTCAGAGAAGTGATGTGAACTGGGCAAGGTCAGGGGGTACGGATCATCAGCTGGGACCGTGACCTGATTATCTTCTGGAGTGTGGACAGCTCCTGCTTCCATGTTTATAGTGAATTCAGCATCAAATAGTCAGTGGAAGGGGGGGAAACTTTTTTATGTTTGTAGAACACAAATTCATAGATATTTTTTCAGTTCGTAGATTTGACTTTTTTAAAGTTTCATCAGTTCTGCTTTTTTTTTTTAAATAAATATTTTATTTATTTGAGAGACAGAGATCACAAGTAGGCAGAGAGAGAGGAGGAAGCAGACTCCCTGCAGAGCAGAGAGCCCAATGAAGGGCTTGATCCCAGGACCCTGGGATCATGACCTGAGCCGAAGCAGTTCTGCTTTTTTTTTTTTTTTAAAAGATTCTATTTATTTATTTATTTGAGAGAGCGAGCATGAGCAGGGAGGAGGCAGAGGGAGAAGCAGGCTCCCTGCTGAGCAGGGAGCCCCACCTGGGGCTCAATCCCAGGACTGGGAGATCAGGACCCCAGCCTAAGGCAGCCGCTTAAACCGACTAAGCCACCCAAACGCCCTCATCGCTTCTGTTTTTAAAACTTAATGGAGACGTGCATTGTGGATGCTACAGAATGTACTGTTTCTCCTGGGAAGCAACAGGGTATAGTGGAAAAGGATTTGGGGCCTCCGGCACTCAGTGGGGTCTGACAGCCTTCCGGCCTGGGACTGCACTCTTCCTTTGTCGTGTACATACGTACATCCGTGTGAGCCGGTTTCCTGGAAGGGCAGTGCCCTAGGCCTGTGTCTTCATCATTGCCCCGCAGTGCCTAGCTCCGTCCTGCCCTCCTAGTCACGGGAAAGTGGTGAAGGGAATGGGGATGCCTGCAGCTCTGAGTGTGCCCAGAGGAATTCAGTGCAACAGTAGTGGAGGATACTTTGCTTTCCATAGATCAGAAAGTTCTGTTTGGGGGAGGAGGAGTCTTTGAATTGGTTGATTTTTCTTTTAAATGTTTTCACTCGCAGGGACTCTCCCCGAAAGACTTTCAGAGGACTGTGTTTAAAGAAATATTGAGCTGGCATAGTGATCGATAATACTGAATTAGACGAAGTAATATGAAGTTCTTATTCTTACTTTGTTTTTCTAGCTAATTTGTGGCACTGGGTCAATGAGGCTTGCGGCCGCCTAAGTGGAAATAAGGTAAATTTAAATAAATCTTAAGAGCCTCCTTAACACCCTTTTAATGGTTTAGGCTGATGTGGCTGTTATTAGTCAAACCTCGAGCCCCGCTGTAAACAGGGTCCTTCCTTTAGGGATGGAACCTTGAATCCCAGGACTGATCCCCCCGCCAAAGCCCAAGTGGGCTCCGGTGGTAAATGCTCTTTTCTTTGTATTTCCTTCCCCCATCTTAGCTGTGAGCATACATTATTTATGTTGTTCTAGCGCCAATCTTGATTGCCTAGGACAGGTGCCAAGGAGGAAGGAGCTGCCATTTCCCTCTACTCTTTAGTTATTTTGGTAACTTTTCATTTTGATATAATCAAAATTATAGAAAAGCAGTGAGAATAGTACAAAAAAAAAAAAAACACAAAAAACCCAACCTCCCACACACCCTAAACTCAGACCCACCAACTGCTTACATTATCACAGTGCATTATCATTTGCTATCTGTAAGTGTGTATGTGTGTGTTTTTATTCAGGGACTATTTTAAAGTGAATGACAGACATCACGCTCCTGTACCCTTAAATACTTCAGTGTGGATTTCTTGAGAAAAAGCGCATTCTCTTACATAACCATAGTACATTTATCAAAAGCAAGATATTTAATCATGATACAAACTATTATCTGATCCGCATGTGATATTAAAAATGTCTTTGATTATCCCATCATGTTCCACGGATCTATTGTCTGCGGTATAAAGATATATAAATATAAATTTAAATTCTATATATTTAAATATATCTATTGTCTGCGGTATAAAGATATATACCGCAGACAATAGATATATTTAAATATATAGAATTTAAATATAAATTTTAAACCATGAGGTCATCCTGATTCTTCCAGGTCCAGTTCCAACACCACAGGATTCATTCAATCTCTCCCTTACCTGGATTTGAATCTTCCTTCTCCAACAGGACAAAGCCTGGTTCCTGTTATTCTCAATATATTTACTCAACTCCTCAATGCCAGAATACACAGAAAGTAGTTTCAGAATGTTTGAACTGTACTACAGAAAAAACCCAAACTGCTAACTAGAGTTCCTTTTTTGTTTACGTTTTTTTTTTTTTTAATTTAGATTGAATATGTGGACAAAATACCGTGTTGTAAAGTTATTTGAGTTAGGTCTTTGCTTTGCTTCAGTGTGAACACGCTATTCGTTTGAAATGCAGTTTGATTCTCCGGTTCCCATATTCTATTTCAGGGCTCTCCCTGACTCTGTAATCTTAAATAACACAAATAAAGTGCCATAAGGAGGTTTCCATCTATACTTGTTGTGGTGGAAATAATTACTCTAAACCATCTCCAGCCATGTTTAGCAGAAACATGTCCTAATAACTCTGGGTATTAATACTTCTGCCTTCTGAATTTACATCAGCAGGAGTCCTCGGGCAACAATTTCAGCAGCACTCCTATGGAGGCCTCTAGTCAGCGTGAAATTTGTGATGGTGTCTTACTGCTGACTCTGGAAGAGAAGATGTTCTCTGAAGATATGTGCTGTCCCGACGGTGGCGGTCTCTGTGCGGGGCCGTGTGCAGGTGCAGGGCCGTGTGGAGGCACTGGGCCTGGTGCGCAAGGCCAGGAGGCCGGGTTGCTCACCTTGGTCAGCGAGATCGAGGGGGACCCCTTCCGGCAGATTCCCATGGAAGACGAGTATGTGGACAGGCCCTCCCAGACCCCAGACTCTTCTTCGCTGTTCCTCACTCAGCCTGGGAGCAAGTCCACCCCGCCTTTCCCCGAGCCCCTGGAGGTGGGGGAGAATGACAGTTTAAGCCAGTGCTTCACTGGGACAGACAGCCTGGCCGATTCTGAGAGCGGCCACTTCGCAGAGCCCCTGGGCGGAACTGACTGGACTCCCATGGACTCCGAAAAGTACTTGCAAAAAGAAGTGGAGGGCGGCCACTGCCCCCACTGGGCAGCCAGCTCCAGCTCCGCCGATGGCTGCGCAAACTGCGGAAACCCGCCTGGGGAGGCCCGGCACCCCCTCCTGGCTTCCGAGAGCAGCGGCCCCTGGCCCCAGTGCGCCTACGGCATGGGCCTCCCGCCAGAGGACGCCGCGGACGGGGCCGACGCCAGGCTTCCCGGAGCCTCGAGGGGAGGCCCCGGGTCCGGAAGCGCCTCCGGTGACCCGCCACCTGCCTCTGGTAAGTGATGCTCCTGGTGTGTCTCTTGCTTCAGAGACAAGAGGCCTGTTCCTGGGGCAGCGTCTGGAGGCCAGTGTCCCAGACCATCTGGGGAAGGACGCAAACTCGGGGAAGATTCCCTTGGAACCTTTTCTCCTGATAGGCCTCTTGGCAGGGTGGGTTTTGATTCAACACCCACGTGCAGTCTGTGGACTGTGACCCTGCCCCACCCCAGGGGGTGTCTCTTCGCTTCCCCGCGCCCAGCGCCCAGCACCCACCCTCTGAAGGCAGCATGGTCGTCCGGCTTGGCTGACGTTGAGGTGTTCCCTCAGATAGCTGGGGTTTGGTGGTGTTTTTAAAGCAGCCTCTACCTCAGATCTCCCCTGAGAAAACCTTTATGATGGTCGGGGGGACAAACAGCATTGTTTCGTTAATCCTTAATTAATTAGCTTTTATTCAGAGTAGCTTGTGGGTTCTATACCGAGTTAACGATGCAGTAAAACTGTCCTCGAACGCTTTGTAGGCGAAGCCCCTTTTACAAGCGCGGCGGGTAGTAGGGAACAGGAGGATCATTTTGCAATTGAACATCGTGGTAGAGGTTTATCGCTACTGTGCCTCTTGAGCATGAATAACCCACCAGTTACAATAGTAGAACTTTTCTTCCCCACACAAGGGTAAAACACCATCTGTTTTATGTTGTAGCTAGAAGGAACTCTGCCGCCGATGGTGAGGGCTCCGGGGACTGTTTACCACACCGGGGCTCGGGGATCTCTTGGAGAATCTTCTGACAGCTACAGACACTCTCTCCAGAAAAATGAATATATGGGTATATGCTATTTAAGGGGCTTCACAGAATCCTCCCACCCTCAAAGAGAAAAAAGGAAAAGAGCCCATTTGTGGACCTCCTTTATCCTGGGATGCCTTTTCTTTTTTGCTTCTGCCTCTTTATTTAGGCCGCAAGCAGTGCTGGCGGCTGCTGTTTGAATTATTTTATAACCCAGGGGTAGCTAGATTCTGCCCTGAATGGAGACTCTTCTGCCTCGTGTTGATGGTGGCTCCTGGCTTGTTTGGCAGAACAATGTACTTTCATCGGTCTCCCAGGCTTGGTGGTTTTGCTGCAACTATACAAATTCACTGATGTGTAAATTCTATAACATCAGTTCTCAGTCAGGCTGAAAGGAGAAGATACATTTGGGGATTTTTTTTTTTTTTCAAAGAACTGATTTGTTGTTTTGTTTTGTTTTGTTTTGTTTTTCCTTTCAAAGACCTCCACCCTAAGATTTCAAGGAATTTCTGTAACTAAAAGTTTGGTCCTCCTGTTCCTTTGTATAATTCAATTTTTCTTTCCGTGGTTGATTGTCTATCTGTTGGTCATAGAGACATACAGAATGCAGGTTTTGGGGCCTGGGGGGGTGGGGAGGCCAGAGCTGAGTGTGGCAGTGACCGTGTCCTGGTACCATGGCCAGGGGCAGACCAGTTTTTCAGTGAGTGACACCAGGAAGGTGATGTTAGCCACTGTGTGAACATTGTCAGCAGCTGCTAGAAGGAAAGAGTTGCCCAAATTTAAAGAGATATGTTTCCCCCTTAGTGTCATGCAGCCAAAAGCCAGATCTGTGCTCTCCTACGAAGAGTTAAAACAGTGCCCTAGTCTGGTTTTCATTACCGTTTCTTTCTCGGGCACTAAACAGCTAAGCATGGAGGAAAGGAGGGGGGAAAGTGTGTCATCAAGTAAATGGTGTTAATTTGCAGAAAGTTTACACTGCTTTCTCTTCTCTTTCGTCTGGTGCTTAGCCATGCAAAACATCCGTGGAGAGTCTGCCTGCGGATGCCAGCAAGAGGGCCAAACTCATTCTCGCCTGAGGAGAAGCAGCGGCCAGATTGATTTTTTTAAGCTGTGCTGTTCTCTCCATAATTACTTCTACATGAACAGGCCTTCTGGTTTCTGGTCAAAATAGCACTTTCTCATCATTGCTTTTTTTTTTTTTTTTTTTAAGAGTGTCATTATTTATGTTCTATAAAATCTGTGAAAGAGTGTGGAGCTTGGGTGACAGATGAGAGGGAGCCTAATCCTGTTTGATCTCCCGAAAGCCACTAGAGGTGGCCTTTTTTGTTAGGTTTTAGTTTTTTATTTGTGGGTTATTTAAAAACACACACACAACCAAATCAAGCGGTTTCTGAGAAAATGACATGATTGGGCACTTCCTCAGTAGGGAGGAGTAGCTCCTGGGCTCTCAGCATCCCTTTGAAGACAATGATGGTTCTTCAAACAATTCTACAAGGGTGACTTTTAAAAATAATATCCACTGTTAAAGCTATTCCAACAATGTTATAACCTTCCAAGAACAGTGAGATTTATGCGAAGACCAGTAAGGGGAAAATATGTTCAGTTATGTCTTATAAAACCATTTCCTAATTTACATCTTACATTACTGTCCTGAGGACATGATTGCGGCCACCTTGGTTATAAATCCTTTCACCTGGAGTTTGGAGAACTCTCACTGTATCCAGAAAAGTAGTTCATGGGAAAGAAAGAATCACTTCTTAACAACCAACGTGTCTGTAGTGGCCGGGGACTTGCTTTTGGCTCCCGAAACCACTTTCTTGCGTTGGCCACTTCTGAGCTGGAAACAGGTGTTTATTTACGGGGTCCACAGAGGTTAGCAATGAACAGCAGCTGCCTGTTTGTTTTTCTATCACATCTTTACTGAGGGTCTACTGAGCCCTGGAGACTGGGAAAACCCGCAAAACAAGTACAGATTGAGGTCAGGGAATGGACAACTGAAGAAATGAGTAACTGGAGACAGCAAGGCCTTGGACAGCCTGCTGCCCCTTCCCCTCGGCCTAGCACCCCTCCCCTCCCCCGTTCCCCACCCAGCCCCGCTTGACACCCCACCCCGTGGCCTGCTCTCCCCTCCCATCCCCCCACCTAGGTTTTGGCCAGAGCCAGCCCCTTTTCCTACAGTCATCTCTCACCTGCCTCTTCTGCTCTTTCATGTGTTTCTGCTTGTGTGAACTGCCTTGCATCCACACTGTCCCCTTTCCCAGAACGCCCACTCCTCCTGTCCTTCAAGTCGCTGCTCCAGTGCTACTTCTGAACCAGGGAGGGCAGGTGTGCTGGCTGCGCGGGCACCCTCCCCCCCACTTCTGTGCGCTTTCCGTCTTTCTCACTGAGCCCTGCTGGCGCACGCCTTTATCAGCAAGGGGGCTCTAGGTAGCACACCATTCAGTGGGAATTTCCATGACCTTCTCCACACCTGATCTTTCCAGTGTCTCCAAGGCAGCTTAGTCACAGGGTGTGAAGCTCATTCATTCAGCGAGTCATGGGTAACTAGAGGAACAGGAGACCATACCTCCGTGTCTGTTCCCTAAACTCACTCTCAGCCTCCTGCATCTTCAAAGTCTGTTCTGGGAGCTGGAGGCGAAGCAGGGCATGGAAGGACCGGCATGAGCTCTCCTGGACGGACCTGTCTCCTGGGTAGAGGAGGCAAGGTGAGCTGGTTCATGCAAGAGGCAGTGACACACCAAGGCTGATTCCTGGGAGCCCAGCGCACTGGCGGTTGAAAGGCACTGCCTGATCCCGTGTCTCCCTAGCCTCTGTTGGTCTCCCATCCCTGGGTCCCCCTCTCTTGAAGTAACTATCTTTGGCCATCCATTTCCATCCTGAAAAGACAGATAAAGGTTCTCCTACCTTAATTTTCTTCTCTTTCCCTCCCCGACCCCCAAGCAATAGACAGTGCTCTATCTAGTTCTAACTTCCTTTTCTTTCTTGTTGGAATTTCATCCACGAGCTTGTGCTTTGCTTTTAGCTAAGTACTAGAAGGGCAAGTATTAGCTCATTGACCCTATAAGTTGAAAAGGATGTTTTATTATTGGGTTGTTTGGCAATATTCATTGGTACTGAAAATCAATGCATTCTTTCAAAATATATGAAAAAATGTGTATACTGTATACTTTAATTCAGTCCTGCTTGCTTTCTCTCTTTTCTAATGGGCTCGTTTTGGAAGAGTTTCATTCGTAAGCCATTCTAAGTAACTTTCAAGCATGATTCAGAATGGAACTATTAAATACTTCTTCCTTCCCTTATCATCATATACTCCATTTCTTCCAAATGCCTAAAACAGCACTTGCATTTCCATAAAAAGGAAAATCACATGAGAAGCATATGGGTTAAATATAAAATAAGTTTTTAAAAAATTCCAAAAGAACTCAGTGTAGCCTGGGTAGTTTGAATGTATTTGTGTATATTTTTAGTTCTGTTCCTTGGGAGAAAAATCTACATGACAATTGGGTGGTATTATTTGCTATAGTTCTTGTGATTTAATATTCACACGTTATGCATTTTAAACAACATAATAAGCTTTTGGGAAGAAGAGTGTGCATTACCTTGCTTAAAAATGTGAATTCTCTCAGAGATTGAGTTCTTAAAATGAAGCTGTTTTCTCTACCTGAGAAAGAGAGACTCCATGGAGGGGCCATGTCAAGCAGGACTTAGGCAAGCTTAGACCTCTTTCTGATTAGGATGGACACTTCATTTGTCCATTGTTTCTGTTGACGTCAATGCTGTTTTTAACCATCTCGAGTTACCTGAAAAATTTGCTAGTTAAGTTCCAGTAAGTATTAATGTAAACCCAGCCGACCCATTTTAAATGTTAGAAATTCTTCAAAATTTCTAATTTCATAAGAATCCTCGTGTCATTCTGGCTCAAATCCCACTTTTAGGTAGCTTCGAATACAATTCCCAGTCACCTTGTCTTGAGAGACGAGGAGACGCTGCTCACCTACCCTCTGCCTGTGAGGCCAGCTCCTTACCCCACTGCTCTGCTGCCATTACATCGATGCCATCGATACTGATTTCCTCTGTTCACTGTGTGTCGGAGACCTCCAGCGTGCCACAGAATAAGGGTCTGGGAGAGCTGACTACTTTGGCTGAGTGAGGGGCTGTGGCCAGGCCAGGCCCAGAAGTTTGCATGGGCAGGAACGCTAAGGTCTGTGGGAGTGATGCCTACCTTGGCCGGTGAGTC